AAAAAAAAAAAAAGAAGAAGCCCCCTCAAAGAGTGTGAGATTGAAGCATGACCCACAACTAGGGCTGCAAATGAGCCGAGCGGCTCGCGAGCTGCTCGCGATCGCTTGAGTCAAAGCTCGACTCGAACTCGAGTTTGACCGAACTCGAGTCGCGCTTGAGCCGCTCGAGCACGAACTCGAGTCGAGCTCGAGCCCATATTTTGTCTTGTCGAGCGGCTCGTCGAGTGGCTCGAATACATGTTAAATTACTAAAATACCCTTTATATATATGTTAACATAGGTCCTTATTGGTAATTTTACCTTTCTACTTACAATTTTTTGAGCCGAACTCGAGTCGAGCTCGAGCATTTTGATTTCGAGTCGAGCTCGAGCTATTGAAATTTTTTATTGAGTCAAGCTCGAGCCTAAAAAATCGAGCTCGAGCAGCTAAAAAAAAAGTCAATCCTGCTCGATAAGGCCAATGCTCGACTCCGCTCGGCTCGTTTGCAGCCCTACCCACAACCTGTATACAATTAAGTTGAGCTTAAAAATCACAAGTCTACACGACCAAATAGCAAACAAAAGCAAAAACATAAACGGAAAAAGGCTAACAAGTACACAAGCTAGCAGTCTGCACCACGAGTAGGCTAAAGCAAAAAATATACAAAATGACTACCCAAATATGAACGATGGGTAGCAAATCTGGTCCATCCGCACAAGAGTACGGGGGCGAAAAGGAGCGTCGTTCGGATTAAAAATTTTCTCTGGGAGTGGAGGCACCAATATAATCGAGGAAGTCAGCGGGTCGGTTCTCCTCGCGGAAGATATGCGAGATCCGTTGATGAACTGTCTGAAGTGTGAATCTGATGCGCGCATGAGTGGGTGTTGAATCTGCCACAAACCCTGCTGGCCTGAGGTCAACAGGGTGGCGACAACGGCAGAGTCCAACTCAATCCAAATGTGCGAAGAGATAGAGGCTGCAATTTGAAGATCAATCTTAAGCGTCTGAACCTCTGCGTTGTAACTCGAGGAGGCTTGAGAAAAGGCATGGAAAACAATAGTGAGAGCTCTGATGTGATCTCTAATCAGGTCTTTGCCTCCAGCGGCTCCGATAAGTCGGTCGAATGATCCGTTAGTATTTAGCTTAACCTAAGGGGAGTCGAGCCTCAGCCAAACAACGGCTCTGGGGCGTGAGTGCTGGACAGACGACAGTGGAGGTGGTACAAATCAGTGGGGCGGTGTGCAACCTATCCAGTCTCTAGGTGTGAGTCTGCCCAGAACCGTGAGGAGAGAGATGTCGATCAACCTGCAAAACAATATGAAAGCACATAAAATTTATATTCCTATACTTTGCACTATTCATTTCTGTCCATATGAACCACATGAACAGACAAGGAATGAGAATGTCCACGTGTCTAAAGTGTGTGCGCTGTGAGAAAAAACTCAAGCGCTCAAAAGAATTTGTTGTAGGAATGGGTATATGAGTATAAGTGGAAAAATGCTCTAACACTCTCCTCGCAACCTCGCTCTCTAAAAACAAAAAAAAAGTTTCAGTCTGGAAATGTTCGGTCTTGGCACAGCAGTAATACATCGTAGGGAAGGAAAACTCCCCTCGCTTGCATCACAACATCGATCAGAAGTTGCTCGTGGTAAACAGGTCGATTTAAATGACCCCTAAGAGAAGGTTAGGTCGGTCACCCAGTTGAACTTTCCCCCAAGCCGAGGTCGTAGAGTATGCACCCGAAGATTTGAGTCTCCACCTCATACCGTCTGAACCGTCTTCCAAGATGGGAATCTGTTGGATTTGATCTAAAACCTGGTCACTGAGACCCGCTCCAGTACCCAACACCCTCTCTAACCTATCCCTATTCCAATCCCCATCATACCACGAGTCCTTCACCCGCAGAGATGGAGAGCGAGTGACCTGCCTAGTACTCAAAAAAGGCCCCTCAACAAACAACCAATCGTCCCAAAAGCTAACATCCCCCTCACCTCAGTGTCCAGAAGATGTGCTCCTGGGCATGCCTACCTACCCCAGTGAGCTGCCTCCACTGTTTACTATCATGAGCGGTGGCCATCCCCCAACATGGACGATAAGCACCTCTAGGAAAGTACTTCCAACGAAGGTACTGAGCCCAAAGACACTTTTTCTCCCTGAAGCACCAGCATATCTTATAAGAAAAAGCGGTGACTACATCCAATAAGCGGCGGATCCCAAGACCAACAACAGAAAAAGGCCGGCAAACGGAATCCCACTTCACCTAGTGGACTTGTCTCCTCCGGGAGCCTTCTCCATGTCCTCAGAAATAACGAGCCATGATCTGATCTAACTCGTGGATACTGGATTGAAAGAGTGTATACCTAGAATAGTCGAGAGCTTTACAGTATAGGTGGAAGATTGCTGGAGTATACTGCTGTAACGCCCAGATTTTTATTTACTATTTGTGGAGCTCGACTATATTTCCATAAATATTAAGTCTCTAAAATTGATGCATTTATTATATGTATTTGCATTAAAATAAATAATTAGTATTAAAGTCTAAGCCATGGAGAATTTATTCAATTTTAATTGTTAAAGTCGGATTTATCTAGCCCAAGTACCAGTTATATTTTTAAAACCGAGCCTTGGATTTAATCGGAATTTTATTTAAGCGAATCGAAGCTGAATAATTTAATTATTCGAGCACAATGGATTTTGAGCGGATCCAATTTATTAGTCGGCCATTTTTAATTCGTAGTCGAATTAATTTCCAAGCTCAAGCGATAATTTAAATATCGAGCCCTCGTAGTATTTTAGTTCCGAGCCTAATATTTAATTTCGGCCCAAGTCGAAACTTTACTACAAGCCATCATATTTTATTTAACCGATTAATTTAATTAGTTCGAGTTCGACTAATTTTATTAACCGGGCATTTAAAATTCCTAGTCCACATCCGATTTTAAAATCGAGCCCAAGCGTAGGATTTCTACTGGCCAAATAGCAATTGATATTTTTGGAGCCCAATTCAATTAAATTTAAGCCCAAGATTGAAGCCCAAATTGCACACCAAACCCTAATTTCTACAC